TCCTGCTTAGAAAGTCGTCTAATACGAAGGAAAATACGGTATGTTAAATAATGGAGGACACTAGGGAATTCCAGAAGAAAATCTGCATTTGATTTATTGAGTACATCAAAGCCTTTGACTAGATCACAAAAAGCTATGGCTTGCATGTAAAGGAAGGGAGTGCCACAAGATCTGATTGTCCTGGTATGTAATCTTTATTTAAGAGAAGAGGTTGCCATCAGAACAGAATATGGAGAAACAGAATGGTTTCCAATTGGCAAAGAGGTCAGACAAAGCTGCATACTATCACCCTTTCTTTTCAGCCTGAATGCAGAAAATATTATATGCACAGCAGAATTAGAATGAGAGGCAGGAGGAGTTAAGATAGGAGGAAGGAACATTAACAACCTAAGATATGCAGACGACACATTACTACTAACAGAAATGGACAAAGACCTGGACCAGTTACTGAAGAAAATCAAGGAGGAAAGTGCCAAGGTTGGATTAATGCTGACCATAAAAAAAAAAAAATGCCATGGAAGATCTGTAAGAATTCACCCTAGACAACAATACAATTGAAATAGTTAAAGAGTTCCCATATCACAAAGACTGAGGTCAGAAAATCAGAAGACTAGGACTGGGAAGGACAGCTATGGAAGAAATGGACAAGATCATAACAACGCTGAATACTAAAGTGAGGCTAGTCCAAGCCATTTTATCACCCCATCACAATGTACACATGCGAGAGCTGGACAATGAAGAAAGCTGATAGAAAGAAAATCAATTCATTTGAGATGTGGTTCTAGTGAAGAGTTCTGAGGATGCTGTGGACAGCCAAAAAGACAAACAAATGGGTTCTAAAACAGATCAAGCCTGAAGTCTCCCTGGAAGCCAGGATGACTAAATTGAGGCTTTCGTACTTTGGCTACATCATGAGGAAAAATTCATTATTAGAAAAGGCAACATGGCTGCGAAAGGTGGAAGGCAGTAGCCCAAGAGGAAGACCACATGCAGATAGTTAGACTCAACCACAGAGGACATTGGTCTGGGCCTGCAGGACCTGAGGAGAGAGGTTTAGAACAGGGGGTCTTGGAGAGTTCTCATCCACAGGGTCTCCATGAGTCAAAGTCAACTCGCAAGCAGATATCAACAGTTAACCAGGAGCAACCAAGTTTGATGCTGAAAATGCTTTTTGACACTATATGTCTAGATCAGTACAAATACAAATACCACTTGAACCACTTGTCTTCCTACTATGGAAAGAGATGAGTGAGTAAGCCAGAAGATTACATAATTTGTGTTAATAGTGGCAGCCAGGGGATTGTACAGTTGCCCATCAGTTTTCGTGGGGGATACTATTGGCTTGAATGGTGGTGCATGTCCGCGGGCATCCATGGGCACACACCCCATTTTAATCACCTCCATTTATTTGCCCCTCTCCATGTACGGGCGAAGGACATGGACTCAAAGTCCGTGAAAACGTAGTGGCATCAAGATGGGGCCTTTCTAGTGGTGGGATCCTCTATCCTAAAATGTCATC